TCCAGTCCTTTGTAGCATAACCACAATAAACGATATTGTCTGATTATACGATAACACTATTAATTACATATTCCGTAGCCAATGTTTCGTCATTGTTTCAACGTTTTAAAGATTCGGGTCAATGAAGTATCTGTTCAAAGACACTTTAAAGCCTTCCACCATGTAAGTTAGTCTTCTTAGTCCCTCAATTTTTGAATATTAACGGTTCACATTGTGAAAATTAGAACAACACATATAAGCGAACAATTGTTTTCAATTAGATCGTCATCAGGCCTTACTCTAATATACATGAATATTTATGCGAAAATTTTTAAATCAATCAAGGCAATATGGGTCTTATTCTATTTCATTGTGATTATTGACCCATATTGCCTTGATTGGTTTAAAATTTTTTGCATAAATATTCATGTATATTAGAGTTAAACGCCCTTGCTTGTTATAAATCGACGAATAACCGAGGTTGAAATAAAATGTAATCAGAATTCACAAAAAAACATAGTTCGCTTTCGTGTATCAAATTTTCAGTCAAAAGCCACCAACATTTGTCGATTTTCGCACTAATTTACTTTGTACCTACGACGGTAATCACTCAAACTAGATGTCGTGGGAGTGTATGCTCTTTGGATGATAATGGTACTCTAAAAAATTGAGATCGTTAATTCGTTTGTTTAATGCAATCAAGTTGAAGTGTGTCCCAAGACATCGATAGATCGGAGCAAACAAGAACAACATATCCACGATAACATTGATGATGAACAGCATTCAAACCTTCAGGGATGCTGATGGCAATATAGATGCGTTTCGGAATTTGGTACCAGATTTATTAAGGAGCATGATAAATGTCCTGCTAACGTGCACTAACATCCAACCGAAGCTTATCATCAGTATGATTTATTACCATCTGGGAATAAAAAGCAATCTACTAAGACATTTCGAACTTTGATTGAGCACATTTACCTGAAATCCCCCGCAGGTAAACATTATTAAAGACGGACTTTCAACAGTTATGGCCTATACTAGGATGCATCATTGCCCCTAGGTTTATTGATGTGTTCATGATAGGTGTCAGTGTGGGAAGTACGAAGCCGGTCGGATTTATGAAGATATCTACTAACACGATTTCCAAAATAAAAGCAATTAGCGATTAGGGGCTGCATAGTGTTTGGTTCAGAAAATATATATTTATTAAAGTAGTTGAGGCCATCTATCACGCACCCGCTCGTTCAGATATCAAATACACAGCTAATCACAATGGAAACGCTCTTTGAAATAGGTGTATTGTATTGGATAGTCACCTAAACGAAAGGGTGGCATTTCGTAGTGGTGAACACAGACTGTAAGCTGATGACAATTTGATTTGATAGATTCAAACGGTTCAAGATAAGGACTTTCTCTTTTTGCAACACTTCCATTTATTATGAATTAATCGTTCCATTCGGATCCCATTCACGTGGCAAAGTTAGGTGTGATGGGAAATTTAATCAGTCTATGGCTGAATTTCTCTCACCACAGGATTTGAATCATGAATAGAACTATCGTCACGGTGCGAAGCACTCAACCAACCAATGGGTTTAACAAATTCAACTACTTCATGAGAGATACATCAGGACCGGAGGTCGTTGAGGCCTAGGGGGACTTCAGATCGAGGGCCTGAGAATGTTTCATCTACTCGTCATTTTCTGGATCCGCACGACTCAAAGGACTGAACGTGCCGAATCATGGCAAATAAAACTCATGAGAACTGGGGTATGAATATTATGAATTTTGTTGAGCACCTGAATGGAACTAATCTAATTTCTCGTTAATCAAACAACCGGCTGAAAACCCAGACTTTTTAGAAAGTCATTAAGATGACGGGACTGAAATTAACTTTTAAATAGATCTCATATTAATTAAGTAATGAGCTTAAGACGTTAGTTTTTAAGTTGACCAATCGAATTTAAGTGTAATGAACGTCGAATTTATCGAATACAAGAAGTATTCTATCTCTGAGTGTGTTCTTCACCATACTTTGATGATTGTTACAATGCAATGAGTCAGGGTAGAAAATGATGTGACTTCCACGAAAGATCTCACAGATTACACAGTTACATCATAACAAATGTACAACTTTAGGATTAGGTCTATTATAAGAGCAGTGCTAATATATAAGTAGACCATAATTTGTCAGACCTATAACCAGTTTTCTACTCTACATACTCCATTTTCATCAACAAGACACCATCAACAACAGCCTACTATCACAGATAACAAACCAGCTTCCAGCTCAGGAGAAAATTAGAAGACGCTGGTGGTGGGTAGGACATGCGTTGCTGAAATCAACAAACTGCATTACGAAGCAAGACCTAGACTGGAACCCTTTAAACAAAAGGGAAATAGGCATACCGAAGGACTCAGAGCTCTGAGAATTGTGGACGGAAATAAAAAGAACTTATAGTTCTCGGTTATGACCGGAAAGGAGACCCCAAAAGAGAGTTGGTTGAAGTTTACCATCCTCCTTGGCACAGCAGGTACGATGGAACGCTACAGATCGGTAAGAAACAAGTGTATAACGAAAATTCGGGAATCTCAAAGAAAATATGAAATGCAGCTGGCAGAATCTGCACTCAAGCAGCCCAAGAGGATATTCTCGTACATAAACTACAGAACAAGGATTCATCATTGGATTCCCAACCTAATTAAAGTAGGAAGTGAATCTGAAATGATAGAGGAAGATCAGGAAAAAGCTGAGGTTATGGCTGACTACTTTGGGGCAGTTTTCACTCAGGAACCTCCTCTAGAGAAAGAACCAGACCCAATTACAGAGTCAACAAACCAGCTGCTCACCGTGGACTTCGACCAAAACGATGTGCTTAAGGCTCTTAGCACCCTAAACATGGAGAAGTCAACAGGACCAGATGAACTACACCCTAAAATCTTGAGACATATTGCCCAATATATCGCAGCCCCACTGACTGTGATATTCAAAATGTCACTTGACCAAGGTGTGTTACCTATGGACTGGAAGGACGCAATCGTCACTCCCATACATAAAACAGGTCCACGACAAGTTCCATCAAATTACAGACCCGTAAGCCTCACCAGTGTTGTAATTAAAATACTGGAAAGAATAATCAAACGGACCATAACAGCATTTATGGAAACCAATAACTTGCTGAACATGGCACAACATGGTTTTAGAAAGGGTCTATCCTGTACAACGAACCTCCTTATAGCTAGGGAGCTCTGGATTAATGCGCTAGACAACGGAAACTCAGTGGATGTTGTCTACATAGACTTCAGTAAGGCTTTTGACAAGGTGCCAACTAATAGGCTGCTATTGAAGTTGGCAAACCTTGGTATTGCCGGACCTCTTTTAAAATGGATTAAGGATTTCCTAGTAGGTCGTAGGCAAAAAGTAAGAATAAATTCCAAGTGCTCCATCTGGAGACCAGTACTTAGTGGAGTACCCCAAGGTTCCGTCTTAGGTCCTTTACTTTTTATAATGTACGTTAATGATCTTACAAGTATAGTACAGTCTCCAATGTTATTATACGCTGACGATGTAAAAATTTGGCGAGTAATAACTGGAGACAAAGACGCATTTACTCTTCAGGCGGACTTAAATAATATGATAAACTGGTCTAAAGAGTGGCTAATGCCTATCAACTCGGAAAAGTGTGTCTACATGCACTTGGGGGATTCAAAGGTTAATACGTACAACATAGGGGATGTGTCATTACCCGTAGTCCGGTCTCATAAGGACCTAGGGGTGACAGTGAGCAATGATCTTAAGACGACGGCCCATTGCCGGGAGGTCGCAGTTAAGGGGTTTCGAACCCTCTGGGCTTTAAAAAGGACATTCACTAAGCTTGATACTACCATGTTCACCACATTATACACATCCTTAGTGAGAACTAAGTTAGAGAACTGTGTTCAGGCTGCAAGCCCCTGTTTAAAAGGTGACTCAGACATACTAGAAAAGGTACAGAGGGCAGCTACGCGTGCAATTCCGGAACTCCGGGGTTTATCATATAAAGAGCGGCTTGAAAAACTGAACCTCTTTACTCTGTCCTATCGCAGACTAAGGGGAGATCTAATATTGATGTACAGAATACTGAGAAATGATTTCGGACCTAACTTATTCTCTCTCTTTCTTCCCACTAGATCGGGACACCTCAGAGGACATAGCAGGCGAGTAGAAAAGCCAAGAACGAACAAAATACCCGTGGCATACAGGTTTTCACACCGAGTCATCAATACTTGGAACCTGCTGCCTGAAGCAGTGGTGTCCGCACCTTCAATTGACTCTTTCAAGAGAAGACTGGACACTCACAGAAGCATACTAGAAAAGGAATAACATAGGCCGTAGGCCTTCTGTCCTTACAACACAAATCTGAATCTGAATTACTATATTTACGAGACAAAACGAAGCACGATTTTGTCTTCACTTGATTAGGATTCAGGTAGTGAATCCTTGTTTCAGATGTGAAGCTGATATACTAGAACGACTTCAATAGCCGGGGATCTAAATGGTAAAAGTTCTCAGTGCACTACTTTATGGCGATAGATTAAAGTACCTTAAAATATTCAAATTAACTTGCCTCAGGTTGCCTGGCGACTTAATACTGGCTTGCTGCGTACTGTACGATGATTTTGGTATTGATATATTTCGTTTTTTCCTTCTATTTAAGATTAAGCGTCAGTTCAAAAACCGAGATTATATAGTTTACGTCAGGAGATTCATTCTTTGTATATCAGAACGCTCAATATCAGCACATGACGATGCATTTAAAGCGAGATTCGATTTTCATAGTACTACAATTTATGATGACCACTTGACGTCCTAATCTTATTGTTGGAGCATATATATATCTTTTTGAAATGGCTTTCAATATAAGTTGATTGAATAGATTCATAATCCATGATACACGAAGTACTGTAGTTTCCTTGTTGCAGTTTTTTAAACAAACTAGTTTATGACCTTGTTCACTTCCAAATAAGCGTTAATTTCGTATGTGATGGATGATTTGTATCCAAAGCTCTCTACTTATGAGTTTGACTATACAACTGATATCAACAAGAAGATGCGTGTCCCAGAAAAACTTTCATACGATTCCGATAATTCAGCAACACTCAGTGAAGGTCATGATGTTTCTTTTCGCAACTATCCAGTTGCAGATTTAAGTGCGAAACCTAATTATACTTACTTTACAGTTTTAGATGCCAAACGCTCGACAGAGTACGCCCTAGGATATAGTCCTGATTTACTGAAGAACAGTGACATTCGCTCGAAAATAGTTTGCAAGTAAGTTTCATAAAGCTATGCATCTGCATCGTGATTCAACTTATTACCAATCAGGTTCATTCGTAATGCAAAATCTAGTATATTCACCAAACCAATACAAAATAATTCCACTTAGACTGTCTTTCTGAGCTTCACTTCCGACATGTTTATTCTTCACTCGTCGTAGCTCTGGCTAACACTGCTTATTTTTCAGAGTACTGTATTACCCGTGAAAATCCTCGTAAGATGACAGAGTCTAAATAAATTAGTTATCCACAAAAAATCTGATCTTTCGTTTGACCAATGCAATTCTGTCCCTTGTGGCCATTTTGCTAAAATAGATGTCTGAAGTCAAGTGAACTGGATACAAATTTTATTGTTTATCGTCCAGACACAACGACTATTGAGCGTAGTAGGTATTCTGTTAACCTAGCACATGAACCTGCAAGTCATTGCCGAGATTGTGTAAACAACAAAACCGGTCACTTTGTGTTTTCAAGTATACGCTTATCTTCCAATGCTTAGTTAAATTCAACTTTTAATTAAAGCTTACCCCGTATACGGTTTTTCAGGTGTACGGTGGTATTCAAGCGTCAAAAAGCTACAAGAACTTGTGCAATTTATCGGTAGCCTTCATCTCTAACGGTATTCTACAATTAGCTTATGAAGTTTTAAATTCTCAAGAATGTAAGATAGTACCCATTTCTAATGTCCACGTACACCCCGTAAAATAATTGGGCTTTCAAGATTTTTTCGTCCATTATGTCTTAGTACCAATGCTCGTTTATTTTCGGGCTATCGAGTCAGTAGTTCGATTGTTGAACCCAGAGTATTAGGTAGGTATTGTAAATCGATAAACGAAGTCAATCTTTATCGATTTGGATGTTTGCAAAGTGTGTTACTTAACCCCATCCACCGAATATTTTGATAGGCGATGATGACTGGTGTAGAGGTATTCTGGAAGAAAACTAGAGGTAGCCGAACCAAGACAGCATCAGTTCATTGCGACACCAGTTGTTGAACTGAACCATATAGTTAAGTGTCAGTCGCAACGTAGAACCTAGTACGTATGTATGTAAATCGGTTCAAGTTGCTGTACTATATATATAGCACAGACATAAAACTGTTGCTCTAATCCTCAGAATATTAGAAGTACCAATATCAGTAGTAATAGAAAAGAATAGACATCGAAGATACGATTCAAGAAAATACAAGAAATTTAGAAGTCTAGAATTCGAGGGAACGCAAAAAAATTAATGCACTTGAGGCATTTCAAACAATCTTGATTCGCCTATTTACATGGCTCAGTCCACTTGTTGATAACTTCACGAAGTAGTCCCATGTCTTGGTTTGGCTGCCCCTAGCTTTCTTTCAGCCTACTCGTATATCGAAAAACATGCCCTTTGAGGTAGACGGTGGTTGAGCACATGTAACACATCTCCTAACCACCTCAGTTGATGAGGATTTACTACCTCATCAGTCAATTTCCCATCCTAAGCTAGCACTGTATTCCTAATCCAGGCAATGCTTACTCGGCGGTCCCAAAATATACGAGCAATGCTCGATGACACCTGCGATCATAAATAAATGTAGACTGTCTAGTTTAGGTCCACATAAATATCGTAAACAGTGGTTAGAGACTTTGCTTTACATGACTCAACATTTTTAATAATAACATGGGTGCGCAGATTTTTTGACTTCCATTAGATCCCGGGTTTCTGAATTCCTTACGATTTTTTTATTTGCTTTATACTTGCGTCAACACCTGAACTAAGGATAGGGAGTGAAGTAGTCGAATGCGTTGACAACTTCACATATCTTGGAAGTCTGATCAGCCCTAATGGGTTGGTATCGGACGAAATCTCAACACGGATTCGAAAAGCTCGTTTGGCTTTTGCCAACTTACGTCGCGTATGGCGAAGGCGAGATATCCGTCTATCTATAAAAGGACGAGTATACTGCGCGGCAGTCCGTTCTGTTTTACTTTACGGCAGCGAAACATGGCCTCTAAGAGTAGAAGGCACTCGTAAGCTACTAGTATTTGACCACAGATGCCTTAGAAATATTGCTGGCATCTGCTGGGATCACCGGGTAAGTAATAGTGAGGTTAGACGCAGGGTATTAGGGAATAATGGTAAATCAGTTGATGAGTTTGTTAATCTTCATCGACTGAGATGGTTGGGTCACGTGTTACGTGTGCCTGAACAGCGATTACCACGACATGCAATGCTAACCGGTGTTGGAGATGGTTGGAAGAAAGTTAGGGGCGGCCAAACGAAAACGTGGCATCAGTGCTTGAAGTCACTAACTTCTAGTCTGAGCCATGTTGGTAGATGCAGACTACTTGGTTGGGGTCCACGTGACTATCGTAACCAATGGTTGGAGACTCTTGGTGAAATGGCTCAGAATCGGTCACAATGGCGTCGGTGTATACACTCTCTGTCTTCTCTTAAACTAAGAGATTAAAATTGCTTCATATCTTACTTTCTACGAACTAATTCTTTCTTCCTGTACTATATCCTTATTGCAATCTTTCTTTTATATATTACCGCCTCTGAATTAACCACTTATATGAATCCGGTGTCCATCTTGTTGTGTTAATGAAGTATTGCAACTTGGACCGATGCATATATGTGCCTGGTCCTACGTTGTAGCTGACTGACTGACTGAATCGTATCTTCGATGCCTAATCTTTATTACCATCAATATTTTTATTACCTCTATCACTCTGAGATTTGTTTCGAGAAGTTCATATTGTTGTGTTATTGGAGTGTGGTAACTTAAACTGATGTACACATGTGTTAGATCCTACATTGCATATGATTGACTGGCCAGTGTGTGTATAACTTTACAGCAATGTTTTATCAATTATATTTGCTGCGCATGCTCTCAACCTTTTCGCATTTTCGAACTGAACTTTGGTGTAGAACAAATACATAAATGTTAGAATAGCATCAAATGTTTATCTTAGTTACATACTCACATAATTATAGCTCATAGTTGCGTTATCGTAGTTACGTTATTTTTAGATGAATATAAATATTTCATGTACTGATCCTATGGAATAATCCTTAAATATATCATATTTTGTTTAATCCCGTTCTAGTGCCCAAGCTCAAGCTTCTTCTCAGTCGTCAGATGGTTCAGCTAAGGCTAATGCTTCTGCTGGAGTATTCTGTGAAACTTCTAGTCATCGAGCACAAGAACGCCTTCGTGTATCAAGATCTTCCTCCACTGGTAATAACGAACACGTATCTGTTGACAATCGTCTTATAAGACTTGAAAAACGGATATCCCATTTGGAATTTCAACAAGCTCTCATGAAAGGGGGATTAACAGTGTATATATTATACCGCATCATAAGATGGATTATAAAAAATTCATGATAAACTTGTTATAATGATCATAATCCCAATGTATTTTCGAACAATCATATGTTCTTAATAAGTTTAATGTAAATTTGATGATTACCCCCCTATCTGTTTTTACTTCAAACAGTTTAGATTACATACAGTGCCGTCGCATCTGCCAGCACAGTAGTGAATCATTGTAGGATTTCTTTCAGCTATCTTCTTGATTTTAAAGAGAAAAATCCACTATCTTCCACAAATATTCTATACATACATCATCAGAGTGCATTTAATGTGTATCACTCATTTTAAAATATATAAGTATTATTCTTGTTTTTAAAACTTTTGATTTGTAGTTTAATTTCTGTTCTGTTTTTTTTTACCATTCATTTTCGGCAGAGAGTATTGTTTTGTTCGGTATTCTTCATCATATAAACTTCATGCCAAGCTCCTGTATTAATCAAAGGTTTTAAACTATTGATAGACACAAAAATAGACGCTTCACTTGATAATGGTATCAAAGAACTATATATATTGCCAGCTAATCGATCCTGTTTTGATCTGTCGATAGACTTGTTATAAATTAATTGTCATACAACTTAGCTCAATGACTAATTACAAATATATGCACTAGTTTTTAGGTCAAACTTCTTTGTTTGATAGCTAGTGATACTGCCTGACTGCTCAATCAGGGACAGATGAAGTAAGGTTTTGAGTCAGTAATCGTATGGCTGAGAATTATATATCTTTTAACACTAAATCACGGCTAACTTATCAGTTATACCATTGAGTTTTAGATTTTTTTAAAGCGACATCAGCATTTTCCTCATTATGAGCTACTCTCGAATTCTGATTTAAGTATCCGTATATGTATTTGTATTTCTTTCTTGCCTATGAATACTTTTTTAGTTTTTCCAAAATAAAGGAAAATATATGTACTTGTACATAGTGTGAACTATTAAAATATGTTTCCATAGATCTGATTTCAGCCAGTCTGAAAATGCCTTGCATTTGTTCATATTCTGGCTGTAATATTTATATTGTCTATCTCACTCTCATCCTGATGACTACTTCATTGTAATATCAATAAATTACTTCCCAATCATAGTTAACATCTTCAACGATTATACTGGTATAGTATCACAATAATAGGTTTAATTGGTATATCTTATTGCTGTATATAATCCCATCATTTGTAATGAGATCTCTTAATACTATGAACTTGGTTCTCCATATTTGGTTTCAAAACACTAGTTTTAAATAGATATATATATTTTTGCTCCTCACTAAAACCTTTGAATTATTTGAATCATCTGGTGAGACTAATTTATGGACAATCTTTGAACGACGCTAATGTGACCTTGAGAGTGTCCACATGATAACTGAGGGTTATAAATAAGTGTAAGGAATTCGAATTATAATTTACAATTGATGGCTAGGAGTTAGGAATTAGATTTAAGATTTTCTCATCACGAACTGACATCAGTTATAATGCCGAAACTCTATTTAACCAAAATAGATGAGTGAATTTCACATCAAAATTTGAAACTTGTTATCTTATAATACCTGATTGATTTGTCCATAAATGATAGTCTCATTGAAATCATCTTCATCCATAAAAGTTTTAGGTTACTAAAAGAAAACATAATCTACAATGCATACAAATGGAAAATTTCAATCATTTTAATGTTTTCCACATCATTTAACGGAACATAATTTTCTTTAATCAACAATTAAAGTAATCCCTATGACTTGAATAAAAGCTCAGTAATTATCAATCAATGAATAACATAACTAATATAACGTGGTCTAATGATAACTTATCATAAGACTAAACTTATTGATTAATGTATTTCTATTATGTATTTATACTTATAATGAACAAATGAAACGGTTAATCTGATTGATTATCGATTAAAGAGTGTTAACAATAATAATAATAATAATAGGAAATTTTCCCCGAAAATAAATTAATTCCAGAATTAAAATGAAGCAAAAAGGCCATTAAATAGTTTGATAGGAAATCACGTACTCATTGTCATCAGTGGAATGTTATTAGTTTATTATTATCATTATCATTACTGTTATTATAACCATTATTATTATTAACACTATTACTATTATCATTATTACTACTATTATTATTACCATTCTTATTATTATCATCATTATTATCACTATCTTTATCGCTATTACTATTATTACTATTGCCCCAAAATGACCTGGTATGACCGAGAGTGAAGTGGGCCCGCCCTTCCTTTCGAAATGCTCCCACACGGCCACGCGTATACAGGCTCTGCCAGGGAAGTCCTACTCACTGCCTTCTCACAAATGGGGTGTTGTTTACGAAATTGAGAGGACGAAAACCGAATGTCCGGCGCTTCAACCAAATTCCAAACCAATGGTGCACATGGGCTCCAGTATCCTGCGGGAACAAATGGCGTATGAACCAATCGTTGGTCACCGGCTACCATGGGACTGCATCTCCTCACGATGTCCCACTGCCTTGTGGATCAGACCTTTAGGTCAAAGGCTCGGAGTGTGGCCCCCTAAGAAAACCACCTGCTTCGGTCTGAGCACCCGAACAGTATCACAGCCCTCACACAAATCGAATGATTTATGTGGCGCATATCTATTTGGTGCCTCCTTGTACCAATGTTTGTGTTTAAATAAAGTAATAAATAATAATTACTATTAGTATCATTATCACTATTGTTATTAGTACCTTTACTATCATTATCACTATTAAAATTATTACTATTGCTATTATCATTGTTATTATTATTATTATTATTATATCATCATCATCATATTTATTGCCGTTATTGTTATCATTACGATTATTATTGATACTATTATCATAGCTGTTATTATTATTACTATTATAACTATCTCTATCACTACTGTTTACTATGATTTTTATTACTATCACTATTAGTATTATTACCATTCTTATTACTATCATTATTGTTACTATTGATTTTCCCATTATTATTATTATCATTGAATAAAACAGCACATGTTAGTGGTGTTTTTCTTCATCTCTCAAATTGGTCATCTTGAATATGTTTTCTATGTTGTTTTTATTGATTATAGAAGACCAGATATGATATATGTCACACACTTAAATAAAATAAGTTAGTTACCTTGAATTTACATTTATACTATTACAAATTTGTAATTTGTATAAATCTTACTTATTTTTCTTACCTTAATAGATGTGATTATGTAATTCATTCATTATCAGAAGGAGTTTGTGGAAATTTTAGAAATTTCACAAATTGAAATCATGGGTCAATTGAAGATAGACCACCATGAAAAACCTGAATCGTGGATGCGAACTTCTGAGGAGTCCCATACTAGGACGAAACGGCCGTCCAGTGCTTCCAGGTTTTCAATGGTGGTCTAGCTTCAACTGACTCATGATTTCAATTCATTCATTCATTCAATTTAACTATTCATCTAACAGTTTTCTTTTAATATGCCTAATACAAATTGTATTTTAACTTATATTTTAGTATGATGGTCACCTCTAATGAAGATGATACTAAACGAGAGAAATTAGTTGAACGAGTTCGTACATCAGTTATAGTATTTTGGATTTTATCTATTATATTTTTAATAATAGGTATAACAGTACTGTCTATGTATCATAATTTAAATGAGTAAGTTTGTATTTTCAATACTTCTATTGTTATTATGATTGTGATTATTATCATTATCATACTATACAATATGTATTCCTTTAGTATATAGATCATTTAGATGTTTAAATATGAGTATATCTGATAGAATATATGGATTATGGCTAATATTGGAATCCAGGTTTCATGTTTCTTTTTATTTGGGACTCATTAGCTAGCTATAGATCTTTATTGAAATGTTAATGTTCACTTGTAATAAGATGGCTATATTAAAGCTATCCCCGTAAAATGGACATATACCACTAATGAGAGCGTATACAACCACTGTCAGGGAAGTCCTAATCACTGCCTTCTCGCACTATGAGTTTTATTTACGAAATTGAGAAGATGAAAAGCGAATGTCCGGCAGAGGCTTTAACCAAGTTGTTGGACACGGAGAGTCCACCTAGAGGAGTTGGAAAATTCTGATTTCAAACCAATGGTGTACATAGGTTCCAGGATCCTGGAGGAACAAATGGCATATAAACCAATTATTGGTCACCGGTTACCATGGGACTACATCTCCTTAGGTTGCTCCACTGTCTTATGGATCAGGCTTTTAAGTCGAAGACTCCGGTTATGGTCCCCTAAGAAAATCACCTGCTTCGGTTTGGTCACACGGGCAGTATCCAAGCCCTCACACAAATCGAATAATTTATGTGGTGCATATCTATTTGATGTCTCCTTGTACCAATGTTTATGTGTTTTAAAAAATAAATAAATAAAACAATCTAATTCTTTGACCCAGAGGTATAGTCCACTAAACAATGGATCAACATTAGGAAATGCGGTCTAGTGGTAGCTGGTAATCAGGGATGAGTTCATACACCATTTTCCCCTTTAGGATACTAGAGCCCATGTGCACTGTTTGTTTGGAATCAGGGTTTTGCAACTCCCCTCTAATTAGATCCTCTGTATCCACCGACCCCAGCTTAAGCTCTGTCTAAACATTCTCTTTTCATCTTCTCCATTTCGCTAAAATAACCTCCTCTTCGCGAGATAACAATGAGTAGTACTTCTCTGATAGTGGCTGTATACATGTGGCCTATGTAAGAACACTTTAGGTGGAAGAGCAGACTTTCTGTTCCATCAGGCATAATCACATATTTATTTGATAATCATATCATTCTATCTTCAAATTATACTCTATTTAATTGTTTATAGTAAAACTAATATTGTTAACTCTAACACAGAATTGAACTCAAAGCTTTAATACTTTAACCTTATACTCTTAATTAATGTACTTGGTTTGTTTAAATATTGTAGTTTTTTTCTAAAACTTTCTCTGTTTAGAATCTCATGATGTTTTATGGGTGGGTTCAAGGGATGTTTTTGTTGATGTCAGTATTAGAA